GGGGCCGGAAGGAGGCGCGGGGGCGGCCGCGGGAAGTGGCAGGAGCGGGAGGCGGGCCCACCTGGAAGCGCCGCCGGGCGGGCGGGCTGGCGCGCAGGGGCCGCGGTGCGGCGGCCGGCCGAGCTTCCGGGGGCGGCGGGGGCCGCCCGCCGGCCGCTCTCTCCCGCCAGCTCCGCGGCACCCGAGGTGAGGAGCGAGGCCGCTGGGGGCACGTGGCGGGCGGGGGAGTGCGATGGAGGGAGGGGGAGGGGCCGCGGGACCCGGATTCTGCGGCGCGTCGGATCCCGGGAAGGGAGGGGAAAGAGGTGAGGAGAGAAGGGGAGGGGGCGACGGCCGTGAGTGGTGCTGCCCCACGTGGGGCGGAGGGCGCGCGCGCACAAGCTTGCGCCGTCGCCGCCCGCGCTCGGGGGCGGGGCGCCGGGCGCGCGCTCGTCGGGCTAAGAGCCGCGTGACGTGCATGCGGGCCTCTGACGGCCACGTGACGCGTCGGGAGCCCAGCTGGTTTGACTCGAAACTCGGATGTTGAAGTTCTCGAAAGCCTCCGTCGCGCGCATTCTGTGTCCCCCCTCCTTCCGTCGTCGCCCCACTCGAGGGGGCGCCCCGACGGCCCTGCGGCCCAGCCCCTGCCGCGACTCCTCGGACTGTAGCCCCGGCGCCGCCACCCCCGTGACAGGCAGTTCCCCTTCGGAAGTCGCGCTCCAGCCGCCATGTTGACTCTGGCCCGGCCTCGCGAGATTCCACGGGACTAGGCGGCCTCGCGAGACTGGCCGGCTCTCGCGGGGGGCTGGCCGAAAGCGGGGCCCTGGACGGCGGCGCTGTTTGGGTTCCCGGGGCCCCGGGGGCCGCACCTCTGTGGACCAGGCAAGTGGCGGGGGCGCGGGGGGGGGGGCCCGGGCACGGCGACCCCTCCCCCTCCTCCGCCGGGCTCCCCGCCCCCGCGGCGCCCCTCTCCTGCGGGGGGAGGGGGGCCTTGGCCCCTCCCACGTGCCCGGCGGGGCGGCGAGCGCCCGGGGGGGGGGGGGCAGCCGGCATTTAGGGGACGCCTGCTGGGTGCCGAGGGCGGGCGGGCTTCGGAGGCCGAGGCTGCTCAGCGCCTCACGTGTCGCGTTTTCTGCGTGTTGTCACCGCGTACAGATGAGGAAACTGAGGCAGACAGTCCGCTGGGAGCGTGTCCCGGCGCCTTCCCCACGGGCGGGCTGGCAGGGCTGTCACACGTTGGAGGAGGAACTTTTCTCAATCAGGGAGCCAGGATCGGGAGCTTTTAGCTTCCAGCTTTTAACACAAAAACGTCTTGTGTTTTGGGGTCACACGGGGGCTAATGAGTTTTTTTTTCTCTTTCACCAAAAGAGATTTAGGATGAGACCAGCAGCTCTTCGTCGAGTACCTTCAGCCCTGAAATCGGAGAAGTGACTTGGATCAATTATAGCAGTGAATCAACGTTCTGTAACTTTACGCAGTTCCGTGGTGGCCGAGGCCGTTCTGTGCCCACGTTTATTGGGGGCTGGTGGCACAAAGGCAGAAGTTTGAGCAGCTCCTGCCCTCGGGAGCTGACATGTCCATAGAAAAGGTACCGACGTTAAGTGAGAAGTAATTGGAGGGGAGGTGCGGGTCTTCACAAGGGACCTGTGGGCTCCCCTGGGAAGGAAACCAGCGGGTTCTAGGAGGTGGAATCTGAAAGAGGCGCGAGGATGCTTCGTACTGGCCCAGATCTTCGGTGATGATAACCTTTTGCTTTATTGTGCTAGTTGATCCACAACTTTCAGTTTGGTAACTACCAATCATTTCTAGAAATAAGAACCATTTAAAATGGTAAAATTGAATATGGCTATTTGGGGATTTTAGGGAGTCTTAAGCTAGCCTGTCCTCCCTTTCCTCTCCTCCCTCCTTCATCTCCTTTTGCCTTTATGTATATCTGAAGAAATAAAAGTATTTTGTGGCTTAAGCTTCATTGTTTTGAAACCTGTTCATCACAAAGGGAGTATAAGAGTCTGTCTAGAAGCTTTTAAGTTCATTGGATTATTTAAAGTTGTTGGGAATATGGTAAAGTGTTGGCTAACTATGTATGTGCATCTGTATAGGCACGTACAAACTCAGTAGTTCTTACCCAGTTATCATTTCCTGACTGCTCTTTTGGTAGGTTTCTTCGTCCAGTTGATGCACTTTTCTGAGACTTCATGATGCAAACTCAAATCTAGGAAAGGTATGGGTGTGGGAGACAGTGTAGAAACATTTGCCCAGGGTCACAGAGTAATATTGGGATGTCAGGCAGAGTAGGAGGGTCTGTTGTGGGGACTTAGAGGTGCAGAGAGGGCTTCAGAAGGGTGCACTAGGTCCTCGAATGACTCAGGCCTTACGGGAAAAGGGATTCAGGTTCAGAAGAAGAAATTAGAATATGCATGAGGTGATTTTTTCTCCTTTTTTTTCTAATATTTTAGAGATTTGTATGCAAAAGCTGTCCAGCACTTCAGCCACAAAAATTACTGACTTGAGTGTTGTGTCAGTTTCATGTAGGTTGTGGCCTTTATGTGGTAGGACTAGTACCTTTTGAAATAAAGCTGAACTTTTTTTTAAGAGACAATGCTGAATGTGGTTAGTTTGAAACTTAGTTATAGGTTTGCTTCTGGGAATCCCATTTGACCTTAATAGGCTTCTTCTGGTCTAGATGGACATATTTCACACCCTTTCTGAACTACTTAAAGAAACATGCCCCTTTCCTTTAGAACCCTTGCTTATACATAATGTTATCGGTTCAGGAGGAAGGATTGTCTCCTTAGAGTAGACTGCTAAAGTTCCCTGACTTCTTTTAGCAGATTCGTTTAAAAAGGGTTGTTGTTTTTTTTTTTAAGTGTACTATTGGAAAGCCAGGGGAGGAGGGACAGTGTGGTTGGTATAGATTGAATTTCCATTGCTGTGTCCTATTAAAGGGACACTTGGTGACTTGAAAAGATTGCTTGCTAGGCTAGACATTTGTCTTATTGGCTTCTCCTGTGTCATTCCTAGAGGACTTTTAAATCTCTTGGACTGTAAGACAGAGGGTTTTGTAAAAGTGCATGGTTTGTATGGACTCGGTCCTGTGTTCCTTTTGGTTGTGATTGTTCCCTTAATCATTGAACTGCTCTCAGCCAGCAGGTGAGATCCCTGGTGTTCCTGGCTTCGAGCAGTTTTCTCTAGGGCTTGCAGGGGTACAGGGGGGTTACAGTAGCCTAGAGTTTAGAAGTAGAAGCAACCTTCGAGATTACTCCATTTATTCCAACCATGCATTTTTTTGTTCGAAGAAACTGAGGGCTGGTGACTTATCCAAGGTCATAAAGTAATCGAGCCAGATTCTAGCCAGCTTCCTTGACTTCAGTGCTGTTCTTGTTAGGGGAGGAAAGGAGATTTCTTCTCTTGTGAGCTCAGAAGAATGGTTGCATGCAGACAATGGTCTCTTCTTATCTCTGAAGTTTGGAGGTGGCTGCTTGTGGGTGGCTCACTGCCACTCTTGGGCTCTGAAAGTTACCTTTGTAGGAGGAGTAGAAAATAGCAGTGCTGGCCCAGCGCAGGTGCTGGGCTCAAATTTAATCCGGCTGCCTTAATCGGCCAGGAAGTGTGCCACTTATGAAAATGTTTTCCAAAGAAGTTGAAAGAAGTGGGTCTCAGCAGAATTAAAATTAATGTATTACTTCCTCAACCTTGAAGTCAGAGCCAGACAGTTTGCTTATGAAGTGTTTTACCACCAGTGCCTTTGTTCTTTGGTCACAAGTATTACAGAAGTGATGGGTGAGATAATGAGCTATGATAGCCAGAACGCACGTCCCTGTGCTACGGTTCTCTTGTAAAAGATGCATACTTGCCTTGAGTTTTATTTCATATTGTAAGTGCTTACCTATTCATAGTTTTTTTTGTACTTTTTAAAGAGAATTAAAAAAATTTTTTTAACCTCATTTTTTTCTTGAAGTCAAATCACCAAGCTTTTATTAAGTACCTACTATGTGCAAGGCACAGTCCTTAAGTGCTTGAGATACAAAGAGAGACAAAAAAAGTCTGTTCCCAAGGAGTTCACAGTCCGATGGGGATGATAAAGTGCAAGCAGCGAGTTCGGGCATGCGCGATAAATTGAAGATCACCTCGGAGGGAAGGCACAGAGATTGAGTAGGATTGGCAGTGGCCTCTTGGAGGAGGCAGAGACTTGAAGGAAGCCAGGACGGGACATTAGGAGAGAGAGCATGGCAGGCATTGGGGACAGCCACTGAAAAGTGCCTGGAGTTGGAAGACGGAGAGTCTTGTTGGAGGCACAGCCAGGAGGTCGGCAGGATGGCCAAGCAGAGGCTTGTGTCTTTTTTCTTGGAGGTGATGGGAGCCGTTGGAGTTTAGTGAGTGCAGGGAGGGAGAGTGACGGCTCAGGCCTGTCCTTCTTGGAGAATGAACTGGAATGGGGAGAGACTTAAGGCAGAGACCGCCAGCAGGCCTTTTGCCTTCTTGAGGCAGCTGTGTGGCCCAGTGGATGGAGCCCTGGACCCGGAGTCAGGAAGGCCTGAGCTCAGATCTGGCCTCTAACGCTGGACGAGTCACATCAGCTCTGCCTGCTTTACTCATCTGTAAAGTGAGGATGGTGAAAAGCACCTATGACCCAGGATTGTTTTGAGGAGCACTTGGTACAATACCTGGCATATAGTAGGTACTTAATAAATGTTTGTTTCTCCTTCCCAGTTGAAGGAACTCCAGATGTGGGGTAATGCAGTGTCAAAGGAGAGAAAGGGGGTATGTAAGAGTTGTTAGGGAGGTGGAATCAGCAGGGTTTGACGACTGGTGGCTATGAGAGATGAATAAAGGAATAAAGCATTTCTTAAACACTTGTGCAAAGAATTGTGCCAAGGCTATAAATAGAAAAGTCAGACCCTGCTCTCCAGGCGCTCACATTTGAACGGGGGAGACAGCAGAGGGAGAAGGTTTCAGCTGCAAGTCAGGTGGGTTCTTAGAGTGCGGTGGCTAAGTGGGCATCTGTGCCATGTCTTTAATGCCATTTCCATTGCCAGAAATCATAGGTGTTTCTGATGGTGAGCTGTTTGGCGGGGCCAAGGACTTTATTTTGTGGGTCTGCATATCTGTGGCTGTAGCACCTGCAGGAGCAGTTTGCTAGGCTGAGTCTCCACAGGGATGAGGGCTGTGGGCGCTGGGCTGGAAGCCTTGCTCTTCTACATGGATGAAGGTCTTGGGGGAGATGATGGTTAAGGTGGTGAGAGTGGTTTGGCTTGCCTGCCACATTCTGCCTCCTGTCTCCCTCAGGGTACCTTGCTGCTTCCTCTAGGCTGGTTTGCCTGCCCTGTGTGTAGCAGTTGGGAATGATGACTGTCAGGGCTGAGGGGGGCTGCCACTCCCAGGGTTCCCCTGCACGTTCGAGTGCTGGGTAATGGTGACAGTGAAGGACTGGGCAAAGGGGACCGGGGTGATGGTGGTACTCTCCACAGTTAGGGAAGTTAGGAAGGGGAGAGGTCTTGGGGGAAAGAGGATGAATTCACTTTGGAGATGGTGAGTTTGAGGTGTTGGAGGTGTCCAGTTTAAGATGTCTAACAGGCTTTTGGAGGTCAGGAGGGAGGTTCAGGCCCACTGAATACACCTGAGAATCATCAGCAGAGATAATTGAATCCCCAGGAACTGTTGAGATGGCCAAAAGGGAGAAGTGAAGAGCAGAGGGCCCAGGACAGCGATGGGGGCCACTCGGCGCTAGCTTTTGAGTGTGACTCGGTAAAGAGTGTGCAGAAGAGCAGAAGCGCTTGAGAGAGCTCAGGAAAACCAGAGGGAAACGGAGTGTTGGGAGCCAAATTGAAGTGCTGCAAGAAGAGGGGATGCAGGAGGGTGTAAATGGGTCCTAAAACAGTCTTGTCGTCACTCAATGGAGCATTCAACCAGTGTCTGGATATTACACAGATCTCCACGTTTTGTCCCCCTTTGCATTGTAACACCCTGTGGTGTTTGAGGAGGGATTCGCTGGGGAGTCCAGAAGGGGAAACGTGCACGTGTCAGGGCTGGTATCTACCTGTCCTCTTCTTCACCAGTGTGTAGTCACATATTCCTGGGGGCCTCTGTTTCCCCCAGTAGAATGGAGACTCTTTGAGCACAGGGACTATTTTTATTTTTTGTTTTTACTTTGGGTGCTATGTACTTTTTTTTTTTTTTTAGTAGCTGCATGAATTTATAAAAGCATCAGTAGTCAGGGACATACCTTGGCCCTGTAGCAGAGTACAACAGTTGATGTGTAAATACCTATCTTACCTTGGTTAATCACGTAATCTAGCAGTCTTGGCTTGCTCATCCCTGAAGTTAGCGCTCTCTGCCATATTGCGGTCATCATAACCCAGAGCTAAGAATAGGTTATTTTTAGGGAAGTTTGGGAAGACCATCATTAAAGAAAAAAATTTTTGAGTTTCTACTGATGAAGGATAATTTTCCATAGTCATCTGGAAAATCATTTCTGTTGAACCACTTCATTGCATGATGCCAGAAAAATAAGATATAACTGAAATATGTGGGAAATTTTTGTTTTATTCTGCTATTTACCTGCTATGTACAAAGAATAAATGAGACTAT